GTGTAAACCCTGTACATGACCCAGCGTAACCTATGAAGTACGAGCAATTCGTCTATCGCGGGAGAGGTCCTTCTTCCCAAGCCCGTCTGTCGTACATCCTCACTACTAATCCGATATTCCCTAATTCAGAGGCACCGATAGTTAACCACTGACATCTTCCGTGTGTCCTCTCAGCTTGAGGGCCATGTTTCCGACCCGTGAATTGATATTGATCGCACCACTGTAGTGTAAACCCTGCCCTTGAGAGACAAACTGACCTCACGTCGGAGGGTGGCAAAAGCTATCCTGGTCTTTGAGAAATAATCTCATCTCCGGCCCGTCCACCGGAACTTATGCAGCTCAGGTAAACAAATTCATTTACAACGTCGATTGACTAGTAACCGATAAACCCATTCAAGTAATTAACAGTTCGATATATTACCAAAAGTTGGGCGCATCTCTCTTGAAAATGGTTGAAAGTAAAAGGACATAGGAGCGGAAGAAGTTTGGAACCGATTGAGATATCATCGTTCCAGGAGAACTTGGTAAACCGTCGGTAGTTTTTCATCTGAGCAACGTTTAGCTTTTGACACAAAAGATTCTTCAAGCCAAGTTGGCCAATTTGGGTTTAAGACAGACGGGGTACCAGTCAGTAAGTCCTCTTCAGATCGTCAAACTGGATCAGTGATGAGTGTCAGTTAACGGTTCTTGACGGCTAGTGTATTTGCCAAAATCTTGATTTGATCCGTTGGAGGAGTTTCATATTATTTCCGATCGGCTCTTATTCCTTAATCTCTTCCACTTCAGGGTGCTTCAATTGATGATTCGCCTCAAATGCCATCGGTAGATTTTCCTTGGTCTTCGTGGTCTTGTGAGAGTTGCGACGATTTAGTTGGGGGAGGGCAGATGGGTAAGGTTAAGTGGAATCCAGATGATGACTACTCTTCCCTCTGATAATCGCACACCAACGCGTGTTAGCTCGATTGACCCAAGACCGTTCTCCACACGCTTACCAGTTTCACTCCTTCTATTCTGTTAACACTGGGATGCTCGACTATCAGCCTCTGTGACGTGGACCGTAGTCCTCGCCTCAAAACCTCAAAATTTTCTAAATCTATTTTGTGTCCAGTGCGTGTTCCGCAATTGCCGAGTCTTTCAGTCTTTGTCAGCGACATGTTTATTTTTCTACTATGCTCTCCTATCCTGACGTGAAGTTACCTGACCATCTGTCCTATATACATCTTGGTGCAATTGTTACACTTGGTTTTGTAGACACAGTCCCTGATTCTGTTTGCCTGGAAGGCAATCCTTCAACTGCACCAGTGCAGAGCGAAGGGTGTTCCCCCTCTGGAAAGCTACTTTTATGTTGTCCGTGTTTAGAATTCTTCGAATGACTCCCGATATCCCTGCTTTATATGGAATAACAGCGGTCACAGGTCATCCTTGTTCGGGTTTTGCCACCGGTACCAGCACGCTTCGTAATTGATGCCTAATTAAGCTGGCTGGATATCCACTACCCAGAAGTTTGTTCTTTACTTCAATTTGGGCTGCTGTCCTATCAGCTTCTTCTGTGCAAAACTTGGTGACCTATTAACCTGGCCCGATGAAAGTTTTTTGTCAAAAGCGAAACATCACCCAAACAAAAAAAACTACCGACTGTTTACCAAGCCCTACTGAAAGGGCATGGGATTGGTTTTAGGAACGTATGAAGAATCATCAGTCCATAAGTAGCTCGGGGGAAAAGATGAGTGAATTTCCCATCAATCAAGGAGCCATTCCACACGTGACCACAAGTTGGGATTTTCTGAGTGTCGAGTTAGCCACATCACTGTTCAGTTTCCCTTAGCTGGAACTTCAAGTGTTCAACTGATTGGCCAGAAGGTCGTGTGTTCGAGTCTTCCTGAGAGATGCACACTACTGAAGGTTCTCAATGGTGATGGAACAGCTGTGAAATAAAAAAATCATTCAGCTGCAACACCCCTCCGGTGCCTAGCTGCCATGCCACCAGAAGGTTGCACGAGGCCTGAGATACTGCCAGGTTGCCCAAGCCTAGGTAGGGGAAGTCTAGAGGCAGAGGTCGCGTTCGAACCACGGAACCTCCGGTCAGTAAATTCGCGCTCTAACCATTTAAACCATCTCGCATCCCCGGAACAGCTGTGAAGCGTTCATCAATTTTTCAGAAACGGCTACACATACTAGACAAAAACTCCACTGAAAATTTGAAAACGTTATTTCCTACACACACACACACACACGTTTGAGGTAGTGAGCTTTGCTATTTCCATGAAATACAGAAGTGTTGTTTTGTTTTAATCGTTGAAAATTCGAAGACACGATTGTATATCATCACCGTTTGCTGTGTCCAAAGGGTGTTTTGCAGTGGTCGCACCAATCGCCGATCGGAACATTCGCTCAAGTCAGTGGCGCCTTTGAGAACTTCCAGTTCAACTAGTGGCACGAACGCCTTCCATTTTACGGGAGAATCTTTCACTGGTTTGTGGACTGCTGCGGGTCTTGTTCCATTTGACCCTCATCTGGCTGGTTTGAAGCAGTAACCTCATCACACCTAACACTATGAAGAAACAATCGGATCACCCAGGGAGGGCCAAACAAAATTGGCGCCGGAACTAACAAGTTGTGTGGAAAATTTTCGTTCTTGGATTTAAATTACCTGAATGACTCCCGATATCCCTGCTTTATATGGAATAACAGCGGTCACAGGTCATCCTTGTTCGGGTTTTGCCACCGGTACCAGCACGCTTCGTAATTGATGCCTAATTAAGCTGGCTGGATATCCACTACCCAGAAGTTTGTTCTTTACTTCAATTTGGGCTGCTGTCCTATCAGCTTCTTCTGTGCAAAACTTGGTGACCTATTAACCTGGCCCGATGAAAGTTTTTTGTCAAAAGCGAAACATCACCCAAACAAAAAAAACTACCGACTGTTTACCAAGCCCTACTGAAAGGGCATGGGATTGGTTTTAGGAACGTATGAAGAATCATCAGTCCATAAGTAGCTCGGGGGAAAAGATGAGTGAATTTCCCATCAATCAAGGAGCCATTCCACACGTGACCACAAGTTGGGATTTTCTGAGTGTCGAGTTAGCCACATCACTGTTCAGTTTCCCTTAGCTGGAACTTCAAGTGTTCAACTGATTGGCCAGAAGGTCGTGTGTTCGAGTCTTCCTGAGAGATGCACACTACTGAAGGTTCTCAATGGTGATGGAACAGCTGTGAAATAAAAAAATCATTCAGCTGCAACACCCTTCCGGTGCCTAGCTGCCATGCCACCAGAAGGTTGCACGAGGCCTGAGATACTGCCAGGTTGCCCAAGCCTAGGTAGGGGAAGTCTAGAGGCAGAGGTCGCGTTCGAACCACGGAACCTCCGGTCAGTAAATTCGCGCTCTAACCATTTAAACCATCTCGCATCCCCGGAACAGCTGTGAAGCGTTCATCAATTTTTCAGAAACGGCTACACATACTAGACAAAAACTCCACTGAAAATTTGAAAACGTTATTTCCTACACACACACACACACGTTTGAGGTAGTGAGCTTTGCTATTTCCATGAAATACAGAAGTGTTGTTTTGTTTTAATCGTTGAAAATTCGAAGACACGATTGTATATCATCACCGTTTGCTGTGTCCAAAGGGTGTTTTGCAGTGGTCGCACCAATCGCCGATCGGAACATTCGCTCAAGTCAGTGGCGCCTTTGAGAACTTCCAGTTCAACTAGTGGCACGAACGCCTTCCATTTTACGGGAGAATCTTTCACTGGTTTGTGGACTGCTGCGGGTCTTGTTCCATTTGACCCTCATCTGGCTGGTTTGAAGCAGTAACCTCATCACACCTAACACTATGAAGAAACAATCGGATCACCCAGGGAGGGCCAAACAAAATTGGCGCCGGAACTAACAAGTTGTGTGGAAAATTTTCGTTCTTGGATTTAAATTACCTCAATATTTGCGATAGTCTAGGTGATAGTTCAGTAGCCATCTGATCCCATGCCATACAGCGCATGCATCATGAAATCCTCGTTTGCTAACTAGAATC